CAGCTGGAAAGGAATTGATTCTTAGGGAACCTTATAGGCAGGAGGAAGAAAAGTGACAGACTTTTCAGAGAGAGTTTTAGAACTACAGTACAATAAACAATAATGGAAAAACAAGGTGTGCCTCTGGTGGAAAATAGTGCAGGAAAGCAGTGGAAGAGAAGTTTGGAAAGGTAGGTTGTGATCGTGAGGTAAAGCATAGAGGTACATTATAGTTTTTGAATGGGTAAGAGATGTAATTTATGGACTGTGGAGTATAACTGGAGAGTGTAATGAAGGATATGGTTGTCAAGACACAGGTGTGGAGGCAGTTAGACCTACATAGAAGCTAGGGCAAACGTATGCGAAAGACATAGATCTATGAGGGCAGGTTATGGGTAGTAGCAACGTGTAAAAGTGTGAAAGATGTTTTTGAGGAATGGAGAGGAAGTGGAGTCTAATGACTGAATAGAAGTGAGAACCTAGGAGAGGAAAAGACAGCTAGAAGCTTTCAAATCTAGGAAGTGCAGGACTCAGAATAAATGATGATGGTCAGGATGAGGACTGTGTTTTGGTTTTTTGAACGTGTTAAGTATTGATCCTGGAAAACCATCCAAGTAAGTGAGGAATGAGCCACGGAAAAGCAGATCTGGACTTAGGAGTGGACGGGGCAGGAGAATCTTGAGACATGTAAGCACAAGTGGTAATTGAAGGAAGCCATGGCAGTGTTCAAATAGAGACCATAAGACTGAAGGAACAAACTGTGTGTGGCAATAAGATACAAAATTCTAAATAAGAACTAAGGCCATGCCTGACAAAGTTTAAGGCACATACCCCTACACTTAGAGGATAAAGTATGTTCTGACTGTCACAACATTTTTCATGTCTCTAGCAGCTAAACAAGAACCCAACTCAAGCAGTGTTGAAACAATTGCAGCTTACAGACCGCCAGACACTGCCTCACACTCCCAACTTTTCACAAGCCATACCTACAGCCTTGACTGGACAAGAGACTGACTTCAGTCACTTTCTCTTAATAAGAGACCACTGGCCATGGACTGGTTCTGGCCAGCTTACATAGGCTGCATATGTAAGTGCCTTCATGTCCCTGCTTCACCTTTTGACTCATAGGACCTAACTGTAATTTATTTAAATGTTAAGTCTCCACCCCAAAATGAACATGGTCATATGTAACATGCATGTTTCCGTACTGTGCATGCATATGTCCCCCCTTTGTGAATATTCACAGCTTCTCCTCTAACCCCTTGAATATGTATACTTGGCCAACCATTTCAGTGTAAATTCCTTTTTTATCTCTCCTCCCTGGAAGTACCTACTCTCAGACTCTGCTGGAGGCTGTGCTTCCCAGATTGTCAGGATGGCCACCTTGCAGGCTGTAACTCTTTATAGGAAAAAAAAAAATCTTCTCTCCATATTTGTAGTTCTCATGATTTAAGTTAGCAAAAGAATGTCATATTACTGCTGACTTATACCTGTTTTCTTCTCTAGAGGAGAATTATTCTTCCATTCCCCATTGTAATGGGGCTTGGCCATGTAACTTACCAATGAAAAGTGAGAGAAATATTATGTGTCATTCATTAAAAAGCTCCAAGAGCCTTTTTCCCTCTTCCATAGAATTATCAAGCTAGTGGTTGCTTCATTAGCCTAGTCCTGGAGTTAAATTAAGATGAAAGAAAAACCTCAGCTGATATGTAGTATGAGTAAGAAAAAATTAGATACTGCAAAAGCTACTAGGATTTTAGAGGCTGTTTATTACTGCAATATAACCTTGCCTAAACTAACTGATAAGCAATGGGAATGAATGAGAGTCCCCAAGAATCAAAAGTAAAGAAAGATCAGAGAATGACCTTGCACAGGACTTATTCAGACAATTCTGAATTTGTCATTTCATAGAAGAACAAAAAACACAACTTGCCCAGTTACTTTGAGTATAATTTTTAAATTTTTGCCAGTAATTTTTCTGAATAAAAAACTTGCATTTAAAAAAACTTGCTAGATTAGACAGATTTTCTGTCTATCTTTGGAAATGCTCTATGAAATATTCTGTGATAAACAGTAACCAGTCTTATCAACAAACAATTTAGAGTACTCAATATATTTTTTTTAAGTATCACTTTTGCTGGTAAACGTTTATACATATAAATCTACCAGCCTAACACTCTTCATTGGATCACAGAATTAAAATTGTTCTTTAATGTTAGGAAGTGTGTTTTTGTCTTGAGATAGATGAACTAGGCATTCTTTCTATGAATGGTCAGCGGCCGATCACTGAATACTACTTTCTGCTCAGCACACTAGCAGACTGGCATAAGTAAAGGGAAAAAAAGGCAACACAAAAACCCAAGATCAAAAAGTTAGTGATTAGGAGCTAACCCCATGGTTTAGACATATGTGTCACTGTAGGGCAGCAGATAAAACCATATTATTTATACTGGTAAACAATAAATGACTTACGTGTTTAAGAGGAATTATCAATCAAAACTGTCTTTATAACAGAAAACCCTCACATCAATTTCTGATTAAAGTCCATACCATTCCTTGTCCTTTTCATTATTGTTGTCCCAACCCTCTCCAGGGCTCCAGGGATCCTATTTACCAGAGTATGTCTGCTTCTTTTGGGTTAATTCTCTTCCTCGTTGTTCTTGTTACATAAATGGCTAGGAGAGACCAGACACCAGACTGCGCCCCCCTTCCAATTACTGATATTTGTTATAGGTCAACTGCATCCTTTATTATCCTGTACCTAACTCAGACTACATGGTGCAAAAGACCCCATGAGTATTATATCCTCAGTATAAAATGTTAAATATACCTTTCCCAAAAGAAAAAGTCACCCTAACCAATGTCAGATTATTGTCACTAAGCATTGAGCCTTATAAAGAAAGATGTGTTGAAATTTTGTTAAACTTCCCTAAACTTTGTCTATAAAAATGACTCTAAACTTCTATACTTTGGAATACTGACTTCCGTTGTTTGTAATCTACATTTTCTGAGCAGCCATCCTCCAACTTTTACACTTGGATAAACTCTCTTTAAACTAGATTCTGACTCTTTGGATTATTCTACGTTGACACATTCTAGTCTGTAAGTTAAGAGATGAAGGTATGTGGTCACAACTGATTTACTTAACAGAGACAACACACTTAGAGGCCTTTCTTAACCCAAGTTAGCAGCTCTACTCTCTCTCTCTCTCTCTCTCTCTCTCCCTCTCCCCCCCCATATATTTATATATATATATATATAATTTTAAAATTTTATATATATATAATTTTAAAAATGACATACATCCTTAATGAAACAAATATTTTCATATTTTAAAAAAGTCGAGATAACCCAAACATGAATTCTTGATTCAAAAAGTCTAAAAGTAGAAAAAATTGGGAGCAAGGAAAAATGTCACATTAACACTTTGCATCAAACTCATTTCTTTGTTCTCCCTATCTGCTGCCTTCTTTGCATCAGAAAGGCTTCAGGATTTTTCTGCACTTTCTATGCCAGATGCAGCTTTGGTAATCCCCACCTGTGACCCAATATCCTAGAGCAGAAATGACGCTTCCGTGCTTCATTACCACTCATTCTCTTTCAGCCCTCAAAATAAAGCAGTTAGTCCTAGATTATTAGAGAAAAGACCAATGTTTTCCCTAAAAGGTTTTACATCTAAATTGATGAAATGGCATAATCTAGCTCTTGGCACTGGATAACAAGGAAGTGAATATGACAATCCAGTCTTTTTTTGCTCTTTAGTAGGTGGTGGCACAAACTTGGCTATAGCAGAGAACCAAACCAAAGGAATGAAGTAAGACTCAGTCGTTCAATAGACATTTTACTCAGCACCTATCCCATGCCAGACCAGGTGCCAGCATACAAGGATGAGACAAGTATTCAGGTTGAGGGAGGACACAGGGTTCTTAGGGAGGGCAGCATGATGCATTTGTCCGTAATACCTGGGTAAAGAAAATAGAAAATGCCACAGGAACTCAGAACATCACTATCCCTTACAGGTTCACTTGCAGCATCCCCAATCCTTGGAAGAGCTTATACATGTCCAGTAGATGTTACATTGTGTAATAAGGTTGTTGTAATCTATTTGTTCACTGTTTATTTTCTATTTTCATCAGTCATGTCCTGAAGATTCTTTTTCAGTTCAGACACTACCACTGGTGATGATATGAACGTTTCCTCACCATTGCCATTCATATGGACTGGAAAACAATTGATGTGTAACAGTCTCTGTGCTCTACAAAGTGATTTATTAGAGGTACATTCATAAATCACACAGGAATGTTTTCTCTGTAAATTGTGAAGACCAGTGGTCTTATATTTAAAATGCCAGCTTAGGGAAACCTCACTAGCTTCCCCTATTATGAATAAGCTGGTCGTTTGCAGGAGCTATCCCAAGGAGCCATTCAGAGGCCATTATTTCACCGTGAAGACTCTGTTAAAAAGAGTAATTGGTATCAATAACACTTACCTGTGTTTGCAGAGGGAAGCTTCCCAGCCATAACAAGCCCAGAATCACAAAGCCACTAGTTAAAACAATACAGCATTTGGAATTTATGAGAATAAAGCCTGTCTGTAACAGTGTCCTCACTGGGGCCTTCTCGATTCATTTAGCAGACTTTGCTGTGTACTCATAGTTAAATCAAATCTGCCATGCAGTTATAAGCTAAGGTGCTGCATACAAGATGCAAATGCTATACGCTGAAAAGGTTCATTTCTCAAAAATAGTTATGGGGTACATGGCTTCAAAAGCTTTTTATGACTATTCCTCCGAAACAGCCACAGGACTCTTTCAAAATGCAAAATCTGGAATATAATTAGTGATTATCTTAATCTCGTAGGGGTTTGGGAAAATGAGAGGAAACAATTACTGTTACACAGAAAGATGGCTCAAGCATGAATCAATGTGGCAGGCACACAAGTAAACAGACATGGGGCTAGACAAGGGAGGGAACCCCCAACGACGATGATGAGGACAACAACAACAAAGATCATTGCTTAACCTGTTTTGTCAGAGCTGGTATTGATGGTATTGGTAGTGATGGAGGTGAAGGTAGTCTTTGCGCTGTCCTTGGCAGTTACAGATTTCTGCTTATTTTTCATGGCTTCCAGTGCTTTGAGCTTCTTGGCATGTTTCGTGCCTTTGTAGTGGGCCGCAGCCTGGCTCTACAAAGGAGAACAAAATGAACCATGCAATCAGGCTCATTTCTAAACTGGCATTCTCTGTATTACTGCAAATACAGACTCCCTTTCAATAACAGGTACCATTGGAGCTAATTCTGGCCGTGGCCAAACAGTGGGGTTCTATTTAGAATGATGCTAGGAAGCAATGGGAATCCAGTTCTAAAACCTCAGGATAGAAGGAAGAAATATTCTATTGCTTCTCTTAAGAGAAATGTAGCTGAACACTGAGAGGTCCACAATATTTTCTTTGTAAGAGTGGAGAAAAAAATAAGAATTTACACCTGTCTCATTTTTGTTTTGCCACAGAAGATGCTGGGCTCCCAAAGATTAACAAGAGCCCTAGAAAAGAGTAGCTTTCACCTTCTTGACTTGGAAAATGCATTTTCTCTTTCTACAATGTGTCTTATTAATACAGTCCCCAACAGGTGTCTATGAGGAAAGGTTCAAACAAAACAGGGGAAGTGGGCACCCTGGCGACTGAGATTGAAGCTTGAGAGTTCAAAAGCAAATGCACTGCTTAAGTTCAAATGGAGCACACAGAAGCTGGGCAATTTCAGATTCTCTCTCCTTGCTTCTTACAGAGGGTAGTCTGAGAAGTTCAACTTAGTGTCATTTTTTCAGCCTGTGGATCTTTCATGCCCCAGTCCATTGTGAGGAAACTCCAGTGTGTTTGCACTACCTAATGGGGCCAATGCAATTCTTTTGCTTGTGCCTTCTGATATATATATATATATATATATATATATATATATATATATATATATATATTATTTAGAGTGATATGCATTTTCTCATGTTTTATTTTCTTAACAGCATGTTTCTTTTGTGGGGGAGCAGTATAGTGAAATACATTGAGATAGAAAATCATATTTAAAGAAATGTATGTTTATTAATGTTTATTTATTGGGGTAGAAAAGACTTTTCAGTTGGGGGGTAGGGAGAGGGTGAGAAGGGAGATTCTTAGATTAGGTTTTCCAGGTCAAAACCTTTCCAAATGTCCCCACAAACGGATATCTCAGTAGGGGATTATTCCTGTCAGATTATCCATTACTTCCCATTGCTTGTTTAAACTAAACATTTCACTTTGCCAAAAAATAATCATCACATTGTCCTCTTCATTACAGCAACTGTGTTAAGTAGGGTGTTGCAATATAATATAGTTTAACAAATAATTAAATAGTCCACGTCTTCATTTGCATCATTCTAGCAAGATATCCTCAGAGGACTAGGTACCCTTATTGAAAGAACACTGGACAAGGAAATTATATATTAGAAACAGTTCGAACAGAGAGCACACTCATGCATCAGTTACAAATTTTCCAACAACACATAACATCAAAAGACATAGTGTGAGCCAAAATATGAAGTTAAGACATGCTATAGTCAATTGAGGAACCAGTGATAGATTGGATTAAGTTGATTCTACAAAGAGAATGCCACTTTGAAGACAAAATTGTGTCTTTTTTCCCCCTGTCAAATTCTCATTTTCAGTATGTCAAGTCCTTTGGCCACAACTTTTGAGAACGATATGCTATATTCAATTAAAATCATAGGATAGTGGGTCATCTTCTTTAGGCATGTAGCTATAGTGTTTCCCTTAAAGCAAAGTTTCTCTCTTCTCTCTGCAAATACCCCTTTCTCTAGTGATACAAATGAATGTTTAATAGATAGTATATATTAAAAGATGGGCGTGAGATTAATTGCGCTATCTCCACTTATACCTCCAAAATATATATTTCATAGGTTCCTAACAAATCTACATTCTCAGTGGCATTTAAAATTAAACACTTTAACATATCATAGGACCAGGTGATTATCACTATTTTTGAAATTAAGAAACTTACTACAAAAGAAGCCTACAAGTTAAGAAAGTCTTACACCAAAAAAATAAAAAATAAAAAAATGAAAATAAACAAATAAAAACCCCAAATACCAAACAAACAGAAACCTCTCTGCACAGGTACAGCTAAACCAATGCCCTCTAGCAAGTGAAACAGCTCAGAGAGTTGTAGGAAGAACAGGGTGACAAAATGACCAGAAGTTGATATGGCCCCAACAGAGACAGTTACTATCTTAAAATGCAAAACAAGAAAAATGAAACACATACTCACTTGTTTATTGAGTGACAGTCTCCAAACACCTTGATAATAATGATTTTAATTATAAATTATCTGACTTAAAGGCAAATAAGCCTTCCCCAAATTAAAAAATATTATATGAAGGTCCAAAGCATTATAGATAAACCAAGACATGTAGAACTTAGGGGAAGTTGAGTATGGTGGGGTGATGGCTGGAGAGGACATCAATAAAATATCAATATGATTGTACTTGTGCAGGTATGTGTGTTGGGGGTGGAAGTTGACATACAAGTTAGAAAGCTAATATAGACAGATGACCCTTCTAGATATTTTAAATTTTCTTTATCGCTGGCTTTTATGTAATGTTTGTAGAAGTTATTGGACTGTTCCTAGATTATCCTAGTATAATTTTTTCTAATTTATCTATCGTGATCCCATAACTTTAGGTTTACCTTGATTCAGATTTGCTGTATAACAGTGTGTTCCGTATGCGAAGGCAGAAAACCCAGCCAGCTCTCCTTACGCCTTTAGGCCACTTGATAGACACATAGATTGAACTAGATAGATTATTCATCCATATTTTACCTTTCTGTGACTGTAGAAAAAGCTGCAGCCTAAGAAGGAATTTCACTGAGAGATTTTTTTTAAAGCACAAGTTGGCCAGACATTTCTCTTTGGGCCTCCTCTGCTTTTCCTTCAGGAAGAGAAGCGTGGGATAGTTATACTGTCTACTAGCACAACAAATTCCCCTTGAGATTGTGTCCTATTATTTATCAGCACTTTTCTAGGCCAGTCGTTCCCAGACACCTGGGAATTCTCAATTACACATGCAAATAACTATTTTTCACAGACATGACTTCTAGGTTAAATAAGTAACTGTACTGATTCATTGTATCATGTTTCAGAATTTTGTATTTTAAAACTAAAGCAGAATCAAGTGATCTTTGTAATATGGACATGAACAGTAAGATATGAGCTTTAACAACTAATTTTTGTTAAATCGAATTAAGTTTAGCCTAAATCTACCTTCCTACCTATCTTAAGTTGGGCCTAAAAGTTTTTGCATACGTAGAAAATTGTAACCTAATTTGAAGTGTAAACGGACTGTTACTTACTGCATAACAAGTAGCAAAGTCTAAACCAGTCACAGCAGCCAAACTTAAGTCAACCATAGGCAGTCAACAGTTCAAACCAAGTTCAAATAGGACAAATAGGGAGCTTTAACCAATCAGGCTACCTCTGTACGTCACTTCTGCTTGCTGTATGTCACTGCCCTTTTTTGTCTGTAAATGTTATTCAGGCACATGAGCGCCCTGGAGTCTTATTAAACCTTTCCTGGTTCTAGGGCCTGTCAAATTCTTGTATTGTTCTTTGCTCAATTAAACTCTGCTAAATTTAATTTGTCTACAGTTTTTCTTTTAACACTTTAAATCATAAGTGGAATATTAGCACATTGTGTTATGAAAACCACTATACCAATCTTGAAATAGCACATGACACCATTAAATCTAATAAGTGTCATCCCAAAGGCAATTGCTGACATTAAAGATATGCACACACACGTTCCTTTGAACAGAATGCCATTTTAGATGTAATCACCACATTTTAGTCATCAGTAGCCAGGCACTTTTCAATCTTCAAATTTTATCTTCAATATTTCAAAAACGGTTTTTAGTTGAAATGCAATTGATATTTCAGTAGATAAAAATAAGTCTTAATTTGCTAACATTTGAGAGAAGGGTTTTGTCATTTTGAAACATGCACATGCACATTTTTTACTTGGCTAAGTAAGAAACTTCTTTATAAATTATTACTGCCCTATAAAATTCACTGAGAAGTTAATATTTAGGTATTTATTTTATTCCATTAGCACCAATACCTTTTATATTTTTTACTCTATATCTCTTTTACAAAACATGTCTTATGCTTTTAAAAACTCAGAAATTTATTGCAAGCATATATATCCAGGTACCATAACCAATTAATTTTCATGAACAAATAATTTCAAATATAACAAGGTGATCCTTGTTAGTTTGTGAGATTATGTAATTATATCATATATTAAATTTGTATTAAAATAAAATAAACATTATATTGATGGAATTCAGGACACGCCACCTCCAAAAATGACGAGTGAAACTGCCTTTGCAAAGATTACAAAAGCAAGAGAAGTTTAACGTAGCTGACTCCATCTTGCTTATAAACTGGCATGTGGGCCATTTTTGCTCATTTCTGGGTGTAAGCCAAGCTAACCATGGGAGAAATTTAATTTATAGTTTAACATTGAGACAAGGATAATAGTCTCTTCTTAAAATCTATCCCTGCCTTGCTCAGGGCTAAAACCACCTTTGTAAGACCTGTAAAAGCCCACAAGGGACCTGAATCCTGCTAAAACGTAGGGCTAGTTTCTATAATCCCTTACTGCACAGGAGTCATGTGGCCAGAGATCACAAGATTTGTGACTTCCCCAATTGCTCCTATAGATAAAATCACTATTGTAGAACCTAAAGTTGGCCTTTTGAGATGTTTTTCAGACTTTTTCACTCTGACAACTGAGGAACCGCACCAAGATTCATGACTCCTTTTCCACAGGTCCTGTGGTTCCCCACCCAGAGGAGGACTCAGCACATGTTCCATACTCCTATGATTGCATCCCCAACCAATCAGTGGCAACCATTCTCTAGTTCTCTGCCCACCAAATTGTCCTTGAAAAACACAAACCTCAGAGCTTTTGGGTAGACTGATTTGAGTGATAACTTGAGCCCTCCCACATGTCCAGCCTCATGTTAAACTCTCTTTATTGCAATACCATGGTCTCAGTGAACTGATTTTGTGTGTACAGCAGGTAGGAGGAACCCAAAAGGTAATTACAATAGGAGACCAGAATATGCCACTGCAAATATG